CGCCTCCCCGGCCGGAGGAAGATGGAGCTCGGTTAGTAAGGGCTTGCGGGAGGAGCGGCGGGAGCAGGTAAGAGCTGCTTCTCCCTCCTCCTCCTCCTCCTCCTCCTCTCCCCTGGCTGGGAGCGTGGCAGGGGCAGGTCAGTGCGGCGGACGGGCCGGTGTCATTCAGCGGCAGGCAGGTGGCACAGGTGGGCCCGGCCCGGCCCGGCCCGCAGCGGTGTCCTTGCCTGCGGGCTGCCCGCTCCGCCTCGGCTGCAGAAGTTCCCGCTGTGCGGAGCTGCAGACGGTGGGAGGGCAAAGCCCTCGGCCGTAGCCGGTGAGGGTAACGGCTGGCGTTTAGAAACACCTCCCGCCCCGTGCCTCGGGTTTTTGTGGCGGGGATGCGGGCAGGTCTGCCGGCTTTGCCCCCGCCCCGTCTCCCCCAGCTCATCGACGAGCTCCGGGAAGGGCTTCTGCATTGCAGACTCTCGCCCTAGCTTCGCTCCTGCGTTCGCGGCTGTGTCTGATAAACGGAGCCTGCTCCCTGGCCGGGTGGTCCGGTGCTGCTCGGGCAAGAGGCCGATTTGGGCAGGTGGTATCTCCTGTGGTTCCTGGACCCTGTCAGGACATCTGGGGGATTGACCTCATTCCGATAAATATTAGAGGTACATATGATATTTGTTCTCTCTCTCTGAAAAGAGCTACAAAAGGCAATCTGTCAGGATCTGTGTGAATAATGATCATTTGGAGTTCACAGGGTGCCATATAGTGCAGTGAGATATAATGTGTGTATAAAACGTAATGCAGTGAGGTACACGACCTTACATAATCTAAATTTAAAAGCTCGCTACCCCTATGCCTACCCTGGAGATTGTAGGAATATGTCTGTTCTAAGCTCTTTCTGGAGGCTTGTTAAGTATCTATCTGACAGAAAGATGCAGAGCCCCTCGGGAGCCAGTGCTGAAAATAAAAGAATAAATTCTTGACTACTTTTGCTGTAGTTCTGTCACAATAAGTTCCTCATCGCTGGTCAGTGTCACGCACGCACAGTGATACTCATGCCTATGTGGGCATACATAGCTCCACACTGCAAGAGGGAACGGTCTCTTCTGTTGTCCCTCAGATGCGCCTTTAAATTGACCAACTGTAATGCTGTCATATTTTAACAAACTCTTGAGGCTTCTCTGCTGAGGCCTGAATAGTGCTACAATATCTAGCATACAGATGTAAATTTAATGTAAACAGAAAGAAACCTTTCACAATTTTCATTTGACCTTCAGCGTCTCCGACAAATACTTGAAACTGATGATCAGGGCAGGTATTTTGCAATGGACTGGTTTAAAATATGTTGCTGGATGCAACATATACAACTCCAGTCACGTCTAGGATGACACACAGTCAGTATTCTGAGCTCTATATCCAAAGGAAACTAATGTCTGATAAATTTGGCCCACATTTTATTTTAACTCAGTCCTTACAGATGACATTGACTTTAAAAAAAGGTTGCTATGGCACAGATTTAAAGCAAAGTATATTAAGCTGTTGGAATTGAAAGTGCTGTTGGTAGGAAAAGCATTGATTTGTTATTTATAATCTGTTATCTGGATCTGTTTTTTGCTCTTGATGTGAATTGACTAAATGGTCTCCCTTCTATGGATGAAGGCCAGATTTTGCCCAGGTGTGCATGTGCTCCTCACACAGGGGCAAGCTGGAGTTTCCCCATTTGAATCAGGAATGTAGCTGAATATCAATGTCTACCTTCCTCTGGGATACTTTCTGTTACAAGCCTGTATGCTTTTGATAAATCTGTAACATTGATTGTGGTGTGGAGTGTAGAACCAATGTGGACTATGTATGCTCACGCAGCAGAAACGATGGTATGATGTGGAATAGAAATGACCTTTTTGTGAATCTTGCTCTTTTGTGATATTATGTGTTTATGTTTGTAGTTTACAAGAAGCTCAGTCATTTTCAAGACAGCTTAATTCATGTATAATATAATAACTGTTAAGAGTATGAGGCTGGGTAGGGGTCAGGTCTAATAGACTAATAATTTGCTATATGTATAGTGCAAAAATAACTGATTGTTTGCTTAATCATAATGTATCTATTTTTGAAAAAGGTCATTTTTTGCAAACGGAATCTAGAAGATTTTGGTCTTGGTTTACCAATATAAGTTCAAATAAGGGTGATAATGCCTGGTTGTTACAGACTCCAAGTAAGCATGGAATTACCAGGTGGGAAGGTATTTAGACATTTCATAGTAAGCCTGCCTCTGCATCTTTCATTGCCCCTGGCACATGTCCCTTATTGGCATGTTGGTGGACTCAGCAAAAAGGCCAGGGACTGAAGAGACTTTGAGTGAATGGGACTTCAGGTCAGGAATTTTGTAGAGCTGTATACATGCAGGTGTGTGAACATTGACTCAGATCTTACCAATGCAACCATTGTGCTAATCATTGCCATAGTTGCCCTTTGTGTTACTTATTAAAAAATTAGAGAATCTCTGTTTTAAGTAGCCAAAGTACTCTATATGTAGAACATCTAATTTTTATTTAAAACTATATATTTTAAAATCTATTCACCATGATGTTTTCATGTCATTTAGTCTTGTATGAGTTCATTGGTATCGTACCTGTGTTATTTGGGGAAAAATCGTATTTTGTAAAATTTTTAATTTACTGCATAGACGCATACGAACTGCATATATCATCTTGTCACATATTGTTATTTAGCTCATTATTGCCTTTAGACATAGTAACTTCTATAGTCTTAACAGGAGGAGAACACCACTGGCAAGGTGTTCCCACATAGTTATGTATTGCTGGAGAGAAAGCTGAAGTTGAAAGAGGGAAAGGACTAAGGGAACTAGCAGAATATTTGTCACCAAATAGTCCAGACCTCAGATCTTACAGTGTTCAATGAGGTCTCCTTCTGTTTAATATATTTTGCATTCCCCAAAACATCATGAAATCTGAATCTCCTTTTGACTTGAATTTCATAAAATATCTTGGGACTCATATTAAGCAAAAATTAAACATAAACTTTTAATTAAGGAAATGGCAAGCCCTTAAAATGTCAAGTGCAACTGTTATTAAATTGAGGACTGAAAGAAGTAGAAAAGGCTTTGTTGTTGTTGAAGATTTTGTAGTCTACCAGTTCATTTATAGTTGATATGCACTGCACAGCCATGCAAATGCATTCATAGGTATTTAGACCAAAGCATAGAGCTAAATGGTATGTGGACCTTCTGAACAAATTAATCAGTGTTGCTCTAATGAAAAAACTGGGAGACTAACCTGACTGCTTAGATGGTCTGAAAATTCAGCAGTGTAGTCTTATGCAAGAGTAGAAGTTTACCAGTTCAAGTGTGATAGAAATGTTGCATAGATGTTACACTGCATCTTCCTATATTTCTTTGTTGTTGGTTTCCTAAGACAAAGCATGACACAAAACTGAGGAAGTTGAGTGTCCCCAGATAAGATGGCAGAACTGTCCTCAAATCCTTGATAGTAATTGGTTTTATTTTAAAGGCAGATTAATTAGTATATGCATGTAAATGTAACAATACAACTATTTCACCATCAAATATTTTCTAGTCTTTGTTTAGCTGTCCTTCCCCAATTACTGACCCAAGGGAGGAAAAATTGTAAATCTAACAAGCACGGAGATACTGGAGATCTGAAAGACTTGACTTTCAGTTCTGTTTTTATGTTGTTCTCCTAGCGTAACTGCTTCTGTGATGAGTATTTCTGATTTTAAGTAGTTTGAAGAGACAAAGCTAATTGTGATGTATTTCAAGTCTCATTCTCAGTTTACTTCAGATTTTTGTTCTATTTGAGGCCAATGCTGTCTATTTTAGGATACGGTTATACCAGTGATTTTTAGTCATAGTGCATTGCCGTAGTGTTTTACTGCAGAATATTATTGACATTATCTGTACTTATCTTATTTAACATCTCTTGGGTAGACCCTTGGCAAAGCTTTAGGCTTGAAATAGAGAAATTGTTGAACTTGCTTATTAGCTTTTATTAAAAGGATTTATAAAAATTCATTTAATATTTTAGAGTCAGCCTTTTGAAATAAACTTTAATTTGAAAAAAACCAGAAATTCCAGGACAAGAGTATGAATTTGCTCTAAGATAGTTTGAAAATGTAATTTCTTATGTAATTATAGAAGAAACGGAGGATTGCTATTGCTGAAAGTATTTTTGAATACTTCCAGGTTTTTTCAGAATAAGCATATCTATAAATACTTCATGATACATTTAGTAAAATTAGTATGTTTCACACTATGAAAATTTTGTCAGTCAGAACAGTGAGTTATGCTCTCTGATCATGATTTAAATCTTGTATGTGATGCTTCAATACCATTTAAACTGTACAGAGAACAAAGTATGTTTTTTTTAATACAAGGGTAAAGTAGCCATTTTTATCTGTCTGTTTCTCAGATATGCAGTGCTCTACAGTGAATTTTTTTTCACTTGCACATTCTCTTAGGATCTGCTGAGTAATCATATGCATTGACTAGTTGGGGCAAAACCCATGTAGAAACTGAGCAAGCTGTGAAAGAATTTTGATTCTTGTTTTTGTCACAATGGTTATATTTCCACTATTGTTTTCAGAATTAGAGTAAGGAACACTGAGAACCTGTTCTTTAATTAGATGCTTGAAGTATCACGTTTCTAATCCTGATGTCGGCTGATGCCATTAGTGATCTCTGTCATATGGAAATTTACAAAGTTGTTACTGCTGCATATGACCAGGAGATGTAATATATTTCTAAGCTATTGCTGTGATGTTATCAGAAGTGTGTTCTAATGCCTGTGATTAAAATGGCTAGCTGCCATGGTGATAGTACCATAGAAACTGGTAAAATAATCATTGCCTATTAGGAAATCTGAATGAAAAAATTCCTCTCTGTTTTTCTATATTTTATGTTTCAGCAACTTAGCTGGAATGAAACTCTGCTGATGTTATATTCCTGATAGAAGAAATTATTGAACAAATTCCTTTGCTCTGTGTTACACAGCAGACCAGGCTAAGGTTATTGTATTGGTACTGTCAAAACATAAAATGCGTGAGTGACTGACAGTTCAGTCATTCCACAGACTACTTCTAGTCTCAAGAACAAGGGCATTGGGGTAGAGGCCTTTCTTACAGCATTGATCTTTGTTGGTAAGTCACTTTACTCTCTTCTACTGTAATTACTTTCTAAATACTGTGGTAAGTATAATTTTCTTCAAAAGCACTATTCCAGCAAAGAAGGGCTACAGCTGTGTCCCATAGGCAGTGCCTACATAGACTCTCAAAGCACAGTAATGACAGAACTTTAATTTGGGAGCCTGACTTTGTAAAAGGTTTTGTCTGTCTTGAACTATGCAAATCATGAATACAAGAATGCCAAATGAGATCATACAGCAGATAATATCTTTACTTGATTAGCTTTTT